TAAAAAAAAACTATTTTAATTATTTTTATAAGAAAAGTCTTTTAATTAGTTGGCAAATTTAAATTAATTTTTTAAGGATAAATTCATTAGTAATTTATATCGATTTAATTCAACTTGTTTATATATATATTAACGACTAACGAACGAGGAAGGGATTACGCTAGGGACTGGTGAGTGAGTGGTGGTGTCGGCGTGAGAGTGAGTGCATCCAATCCAACAACAATGAAGCGCGGAGCGGTCTCACTGATTGCGTGCGCCTTCGCGGTGGCGCTCTGGGCGGCGAACGGCGAAGACGGGGCCCTGGTCCCGCCTCGGCGGGAAGTGTACGACAATGGGCGAATATTCGACATCAGTCACCGGTACCAGCCGGAGATGCCGGATTGGGAATCGAAGGAGGGCATAGGACAGTTCCTGTGGCTTCCGAAGAGCATGAAGAACGGTTCGCTCGCCAACAACTCCGAAATGAAGCTCCCAACGCACACCGGCACGCACGTCGACGCCCCCGGCCACGTCTTCGACCACTACTTCGACGCCGGCTTCGATGTCGACTCGCTCGACTTACACGTCCTCAACGGTCACTCTTCTTTTCTCGCGCTTCTCTTTTTCTCTCAATATTATATCATATGAATAATGACACTGCCGTTTCACTGTTTCTGTTTCTGTTTCTGTGCGCAGGACCTGCTCTGTTAGTCGACGTTCCAAGAGATACTAATATAACTGGTATGCTATTTCTTTTTTATCTGGTGTGTCTGAGAATCTTAGAATTAATTTTTTGCTGCTAATGAATGAAAATGTGTTGTTCTTTTTCAGCTCAAGTTATGAAAACGTTTAATATTCCCAGGGGTGTAAAACGTGTGCTCTTCAGAACGTTAAATACCGACAGGTATTCTCTGCAAGTTAATCTAGTATTATGAATTTGAAGAAAGAGCTTTGAAATGTAATTACTGGTATCTTGGAGTTTTGTGTTTGTCTTTGTTCTCGTATGGAGGACTACCTCTAGAAAACTCTAGTGACTGTCCTAGAATACTCAAAGGGTAACCTGCCAGTCTTAAACCTAAAAACCATTTCTATACTTGTGTCTGAGTGTACCATCCACCCTGATCTTCTAGGGACAATTACTATAAATTTAGGTGCAATTGACTCCTACTTATAAATTAGTGTGTCTGCCGTGTCACTGACTGACCGAGTCTCAACTAGATAATACATAATTCTAAGCCTCAAGTACTGAAAGGGCGGAGGTTGGAAGGGAAAGCTCGGTCTGTCAAATGGTCATCTGACTGAACAGTACACAGCCCACACGAGGGCAAAGAGGCTGGAAGGTGCCATTGGTTGGTCATTCGACCAGACGGTATAGTCTTGAATATGTTTTTGAAGTCTACGTGACATTAAATTTCCGTGTGAGGGAACTTATTGTTTTTATATACTTCTTCAGTCCTTTAATAATTCTTCTTATGGCTTTGTCAAACTATTTTTTGTTCATCAGTTCATGTTAATTTACAGGTGAGTGAGACTTGAGTGCAGCTATTAATATTTTTATTTATTGTGCTTGTATCAGTGGCTATATTCTCCTTGATAAATTGACTATTGAAGCAGGGGTGGATGTTAAGCAAGGCTGCAAGAGAAATATTTAATTATGATTTACATTTTACAAGTTCTTATAGCTACTGTTTTCATAGATTTTGACATTATCGTCTGAGCTATGGTATCATTTTCACAATCTTTGAACTTCACTGGTCATTTGAAACCAAATGCTGAACTAAAACTTGTTAAATTATTAGGAAGCTTATGTTTCAGAAGGAATTTGACACTAGCTATGTGGGATTTACGGTGGATGGAGCAAAATGGCTGGTGGAGAACACAGATATCAAACTTGTTGGTAGGTATAAGTTGTTTCCCTATATTTGGGTGCAATTTCCCATGGGCGTGTTTTTGTCATTTCTCCCAAGTCTAATGGCTGGTCTAGTTTTGCACCACTTGTAGAGTGCTTCACGGTAAATTATTTTGTTTGACTCTGACTTCATAGTTTTTTCATACATGTCAGGCTAGATAAATAGAAAAAGAGGATATTTGGTCAATTTTTTATTATTTTAATGCTATAAATATTTCCTTTTCTTAATGAAGATATGGGCTAGGACAGAATAATTTTGACCTCCTGTGTGGGAAAACTAATGATCTGTAACGCAACCTTTATCATAGTGGTGGCTCTATCTTTTGTATGGTTTATGTGTAAGTCTGGAAGTGTAACAATGAAATTGTTTTGTTTATGATAAAACTATTGAAGAGTCTCCTTGAATCTTAATAGGTGACTGAATGTTTCACTGGATCATTTGTTGTTGTGCTTGATTTATGATAAGTATGACAGGTGGAGTTGCATCAGAAGATTACACTGAATCTTGACCCCCTCTCCCTGAATCTAGGCCACTGTGATTAGTAGGACTGAGGCAAATAAATGACAAAAAGGTTATAGGCTTGTTTAGATAAATTTCTCGATAAACACTTATAGGAAAAGAAAATAAGAAGGAAAATAGAAAATAAATTGCTCTAAAAGTTAAAATTAGTTTATGCATAAATTAATTTATAGAAGTTGTCTCATATTAATTTCTACAAAATGTTATAACTTATGTTAAGTTAATGTTAGCTTATGAAAAAGTTTATTTAACCAAACTTTATAATTATTTCGCAAATTGGATGTATGTTTAGTTAGTTACAGTTAGAATCTATCAAGGGGATAGATAGTTAGGTTCAGGGGATTGGGCTTAAATAGCAGGAGCCAGGTAGAAAGAGGTATATAAGAATTTAGTTTTGAATACTGAGCAAATGTTCTGTGATAAAAGGGGCAACCCTTTGTGAAGGCAAATATCTTGAAAGGAGAATTCTGTCCTTAGGTTCTTTGTTTGTAATTCAATAAACACTCCTGAGTATTCTTTTTCTTACTTTCCCTTTCTCTGTTTTTTCTTACATCTATCTCTGTAAACTCAGAACCCATTTCTGGGTTGCTAACAGTAACGCACTATTTTCTTTTGCATTTTCAGTGCATGTTTAGCTGAAACATATCACCAACAAACTTTTCACTTTTTTCTTTTGTCTGCTCAATTATGTTGCTTGACATTTATTTTCTGTGATGCAATGCAGGAATTGATTATCTATCTGTTGCTTCTTTTGATTACTTGATTCCATCTCACCTTGTTTTTCTAAAGGACAGGGTAAGAAGAAGTTCCCTCTGTAGCTGAGAGTTTATTTGTGTTGTTTTACTATTATCTATTAATTATCCCCTGCCCTAGTTGAGTGAAAACTAATCATATATTGGGGTCTTTAGGATCGAAGTACCACTAAAGTAATTTTCAATCTCTTTATTTGTTTGTGGTGGGTTCTGTACACAAGTGGAACCTTTGATTTTTATTACTTGTGATCTTTGTAACCATCAACAACATTTGGTCTTTCCACCCAATTAGTAGATACCAGTTAATATCTCTCAGTTATAACGTAATGTACACTTGTCAAACTGTTAACCGGTAAGTATTTGACTTTGACAGTAGACCTCTTTAAGATTGTTTAATGCTGTTAAAACAGCGACCATCTGGTTTATACACTCTGACCCTAGCCTTTGGATATACCAGAATAGAATCCTGAAAAAAAAAATCCTAATATGTACAGTGTTGCATAGTATATGTCAATGAGGACTCTAAACAGTTACTGCAGTCATCTTTACTTTTAAAGCATTTTACAGTATTTAGTTCATAATATCCTTATTATTTTCTCAATTTAAATGTTAACTTACTCATTGTCTCCACATCAATCCCAATTTGTGATTTAATTCGGTGTCTGTTCTTCTGATGAAATTTTTAACTTTTTAGTATGATAGATAATTGCCTATTAGTTGGTACTAGATGTATTTTGAAATGAGATTGGTAGTCGTGTATTCAGATTTCCTTGTATAAACCAGATTGAATATGCTTCATTTATTGCTAGGATAAGAAACAAAACCTACATGACATGAGCTAACAACTGCAAATGCTTTAGGAAATCATTCTCGTGGAAGGCTTGAAGCTTGATGATGTTCCAGCAGGATTATATTCAGTCCACTGCTTACCTCTTAGGTTGGCTGGTGCTGAGGGATCACCAATACGGTGCATTTTGATTAAAAATTAGGGTATGTGTGAGCTTGGGATGGGCAAACACGTGTTTTCATTTTCTTCTCTTGGGGTATGGCCGAATGAGGGTTGAAAGGGGCTTGTGATAACTGTTGCTCTCTATTTCGATTTTAAAGTCTATCAAAAGAGTTGACTTCTTCTATTCACTGAATCAATAGTCAACTCAGTACATTGAAATTTGCTGCAGGAGACTGCTATCTAAAATGCCATGGAGGTACGGATCATCGGTGGCTCGTGCATGTGCAGAGCAGAGCAAGAGGGATGCAGCATTACATTGAATTTGGTTTTCTTTTTCCTGCTAGGCTGGAACTGATAAATTGGCACAGCGGTGCCCTTATGGAGCAAGATAGTATCAATGTTGTGCTCAACATTTGTGGCTTATGTTTACACATGTTAGAAACATGCATGAGCATATCAAAAAGTCATTTTGAAAAGGAGAATATTGTGTATATAGATAATTTGCACGTAGCATTAACACTTCAAGATGTTAGCATTCCTCTGAATTGACTTACTTTGGCCGCTAGGTTTGAACATAATAAATTGGCACAGCGGTGTGTCGTCATTGAGAAAGATAGTATCAATAATGTTTGTTAACTTTAGTGGCTTGTGTGTACACGTATAACCATGCACAAGAACTTGAATTCAATATAAATCGTTTTGAAAAAGAAAATAATCATTTGCACATAGCAGTTAGATTATATTGTAATTACTTAGAATAAAGAATTAAAAGTACTGAACAAACACCTCCATGCTTTGGTCTTAGTTCGTTGTTGGCCATGGCTGGCTGGCTTGGGGTCTTGATTCTAGTTGACAGCAAAGGCTACTGTACATTGACGACAAAACTTGCATATATATCCGTGTACAGTGCGATATCTGCTCGATGGAACCAGTGTTGCTGAAATTGTTTCATGGCCACATTATGTTCACTGCTACAACATTATTGTTGCAAAATTCCACTACCACTGCTACCAATGTGTAATTCAAATCAATCAATTCACGCCTCTTCATCCCACAATCACTGTCAGACCTTTTCCTGGAGCTAGCACAGTGATATTAAAAAAAAACTCGCAATTAAGGTTGATCCCACGAATATAGTAGCGAACAAAATACACAAAAATATCAAGAGAGATGTTGCACTCGGTGTATCTCCGTTTGGTATTTATATATACTTTTACTCTTTGTTTATTCCGGATCTAGCTCAATCTTCGTCTAGATGGATAAATTTGAAATGAAAGGTTAGATAACGTGTTAAAAAAATTTTGGGGGGAGGGGCCTGAAATAACGTCATGTTTTTAATTCACTTGCTTTGTAAACAGAAGTTTCTATTAGAGTTAAATCATCTTGGACAACAAAAGTTGCTTTTTCTTTTATGATTTGATCTTCATCTACTGTGTACATAAAGTTTTCACAGGTATTTAGGATCATCATTGCATCTTCGCATCTGTCATGCATTTACAACCTATTATTGATTTTCTTTTTTGGGGATTCTTGATCACTGAAAAACTGCGATAATGAGATAAAATCATAAAACATTGAAGCCAATGATTTTAAAAAATGTTGCACTGTTTCGTTCACTCACTCATTTGCCTACAAAGACAATGCAAGTACATGTGCAGCCTTTGTTGCATGTTTTAATATCAAAGGACTATGATTTTATTTCGCTGACTGTGTACACCAGAGATCTGTACATTTTTTTCTTTCTTTTTTGAAAGTTTTATCTCAGTGGATGATTGAGTTCTCCAATTGTTTGGTTTAAAATAAAAAGAAATTTCTAGTACAACCTCATGAGAATCTTTTGAAGTGATGAACCACTTATCACGATGAAGTGATTTAGGAAGCTGAGGTAACAAGTCAGTTTCGTATTTACAGGTGCAATTAAGGCCTCTAGGAATTTATAGGAGATTCTGCTTAGATTGATCTGGGACAGTTGCAACAGAACTCTATTTTGACCATATGAGGTCTTTCAAGCTTTGAACGGATGTAAATATTAATATATAGTAAGGACAAGAAAACATAGATTGAATTCTAAGTTCTAACAAAGTGTTAGTCAAATGAAAAAATGATCACTCTTTATATTAGTAATTCGTTTCTGGCAGGACTGCTCTACCTACTATTCAGGATTGGCTTGTCCGTTCCTATATTGTTGCAGTCACTTTTAGTGTCATCATTCCTCGATCTTAAAATCTTGACATTCCAAAATGGAAGGAAGAATTGAACAAAAATCAAATTCTTTACGTTTCACTTATTTACCCAATTATCAACATAGCTGGGATTTGGGATTTCCGCTGACATGCCATGATGCACAACAGCTAAAAATGTACCATGAAAAGAGTCACGGGTTCTATCTTTCTGTGATGAATTGTGTCATGTGGGTCGAGCAACACGACCTGCAGGCGTTAGTGTATGAAGTGACAAGCCCCAAGCAATGGCTCATAACTTACTGGACCATATCTCAAGTCATCCACATTCTCCTATTCTCATAATACAAATATCTGGTTTTAAATATTACACGGATGGTAAAAATAACTCCCTTACAAGAGAGCTTACATGTTAGTATAACATGAGTATTAGTGTAATGTTTTCTAAATAATTAAGAAGGATATTGTAGGATATAAAAAGTAATGAGCATAAAATTTTATACAACCTAAGAAGATTTTTACTGCAGTATCAAGTAAGACAAAGTCTACGCACAAACACAAATTGAATAAGATAATGCTAAGTTCTTGGTTGCCTTACACAACAAAATTGTACTAGATAAAAAAATAGATTTCCAAAACATAGGCGAATATATTACAATATGCACATACAAAACAAGATTAATTGGTTGATAATTTGTCCTGCGTAATGTTGCATATATATATATATATATATATAACTATTTCTCATTTGTGAGACTGGAAACAACCTTCTTTGTTGGAGATACTTTGCTGCGTGACATTTACTACCGTAGGATTTGACTTTTCATGATCTACGTACACAACACATGCTGCATGTTTTGTTGTGTATTTGTTGGCGTCCTATAATTGTCGCTTTATACCAACAGTGTTTAGTACCACAAAGAAACACTTAGGGTGATGATTATATTTAAGGTGTTCATCATTTATGACTTGTCAACTAGCGTGTGTTCCCCGTTAGATAGTGTTTAAGGGTTTGAAAACTTAACTAGAGATAGTGCTAGGGTCACTCTTGCCTGTCACAAGATACCCAAATCTTTGTCTGATGAGCCAGACATGCTTGCAGCATGGCAGCCAAGTTCACAGATTTGGGACACAAGCCATGCTGGGGTTCATAGCTGGCCCCTAAAAACATCAAAACTTCACTTGTCCTTTTCTTCTGACTTTGTAAAGGAACCCAAGAGACTTTAAAAGGGATCCATCCTCCTTGCTTAACAATAAATTTTGCCTTGTTAGAAGAGAGGGAAAGA